CGATTTGCGTTACATGAATATTGTTTTACCCATCCAAATCTATTTGTGCCGCAACCGCTGCATCATGGTTGCATAACAGAATGATCGGGTTATGTTTGGTGGGATTTTTTTCGAGAATATTATTTTCCCGATTTGCGTTACATGAATATTGTTTTACCCATCCAAATCTATTTGTGCCGCAACTGCTGCATCATGGTTGCATAACAGAATGATCGGGTTATGTTTGGTGGGATTTTGAACGAGATTGGTAGGGTTCCTAATGGGGAAACGTTCATTAATTCCTATATTATAGTATAATCCAAATTTGCGGTAAATAAATATTATTTTACCCATCCAAACCTATTTGTGCCCCAACCGCCATATCATGGTTGCATAACAGATTGACCGGTGTATGTCTGGCGTTATTTTCAAGGCGATTGGAGTTGTTTTTAATTTTTAATTTTTTTTTTATTTTGCTTTTTTGTAGAACGCATGTACATCCAATTTTCTGTGTTTGCTATTACGTCTCATGTCATTCGAAGAAACCCTAAAAATTTTATTTCTTAAAGTTGATTCCTTCACTTGAAGTCATTGAATGCAAGATAGCTTCAGCCTAGCCAATTTGTGTACAAGTACATGAATTAACACTGCATGGTTTTGCTAATCCTTATTCTTTTCTGTCTTTTCAGATTCTAACATGTATGGCAGTTAAATGGCACACTAACTCTAACAATGACACAAGGAAGATCCCATAAGCTGACAATTAAACAGCATGTTTTATTTCGCAGCAACTATGCAGAAAATCGAAATAGGCTTTTTTTTTGGGCCACCCTGTACCTTTCGTTCTGAAATCTTGCTTGGGAGTATTTCCGCAACTGTATTTTCCCCAAGTTTTTAATACGTACGTGAGATACGGATAAAGGTATTTCCTCGTATTTTACTTCTTCTCGGAGTGCTATCTCGCATCACACCTCGTAATGTGCATATTTGACGTGAGGTACGTTTATTTAATATATGACTTGCCTGATTCCGGAACTTCGTTCCATTGTCCGTTTGTAGCTTGGAGGGCGGGCCGTAATAGCTAAACACCAGCCTCTCTACATTTTCGGCAACTTCTTCCCCAGTTTTTGTTTTCAGGGGGAAGAGGACCGTCACTTTCGACCAGTGGTCTCTGTAGTGGCCGACATAATTGAAATCTCCTTCCACCTCCATTTTGACGAGATCAAGCTGAATTCGAGAAAATCTCTTAAATGTGATCCATGCACAAGAAGTTGCCTATACCACTTGAGTGGAAAAAAAAGGAAGAATAGAAACCTGGCAACGATCGAAAAGTCCTTTCGAATGGATTGGTTTCAGAGGCGCGGTTGTCCTCTGCGACGCGACTTTCGAGCAATGAGGGCACGTTCCTGTGAAAAACCTGACAAGAGGTTCGGGAATTTCAGCGTAAACGCGCTTTAGCTCTTGCAGAGTTTTTCGGTATCCCGCTCCATGGAGTGTTGAGTGAGAATTTCCAATTATTTCATAGAAATCTTCTTCTGCTGCCACAACTCGGACACCGTCCAAGCCCTCATCTGAATCAGCCTAAATTAAATACCCGTGGATAACATGGTTAATTCTTGGACATCACGAATGAAAACCGGAAAATCTCTGTGGCAGAAGAGTTATACATGCAATCGCGAATATGCATCATGTGAAGAAGGAGGGCTCGTAGCACCATGCCATGTAGCAGCCAGACGGCGTATGCATCGCAGCCCCAGAATGTAGTAGCCAAGAGTATACCTTACTGAAGTGCACCGAGCAAGAGATGCGCTTCTTGGTCACAATTGACAGATGAAATTTACCTCACGGTGCTGGAAGTGTATGGCGACAATTTTTTTCGGAAAAATTTAACGAGGTTTGTACGAGTGGGTGGCGAAGTTCAAAGAATGCGAAATAAAACGAAAAAAAAGCAATGCCTGTGCAGCCATACATGCTCCGTTACGATAAGGCATGCAACCATCACCGATCTCTTTATGTATTATGTTGTGAATTTCATAGCAAAGTGCAAAAAGAATGCATTTCGGTGTGACGAAATATCTAATCCCTTGGAGCATCTCTAGTTCAATACATTCCACAAGGTTAAATATTTTCCAGGCGACAGATACGAAGCATCTCCCTCGTCCAGCTGCTGCGTGGCAGGAAGCTAATATTGTCAACCATTTTCACACTGGAGGTTCCCGACTGCATGAATAACTCGCCTGCCACAGTAACTTTTCGGTTTTAATTTGTACTTCCTTCGCTTAGTATACTTTAATGCACATACGTTGACACACAGAACTTGAGTCATCCCGAGCCTTGGAACATCGCATACAATGTACTTCTGCCGCTGAATTCTTTTCCTAAGATTGCGGTCGTAGTCGGTAGTGCCCCGGGATCCATCTAAAAGATTGATGGAATTGGTGGCAATTTTGTGTTACTCTTTTGTTAGTCTTGGAATGTTATTGATTGCAGCAGTAATATTCTAAAATGAAATGAAGGTACAAATCAATCGTTCTTAAAAAGCGCATACTAACTTTTGATGAAATCCACGAGTTCCTGAATTTTCTCCCGCTTCTTGACGACGGCATTTCGCGCGCCGTTTGCACCGTATTTCTTTTTTAATTCGGCGGAAAAAGCAGCGCGATGTGACTCCATGCTATGTGCCATGAGATGTGCTAGATAATAAGCTGAAAAGTAGGTGCAGGAAGATTATGATTAATCGTGTAGTGATAATTTTATAATCCACACCATTCTTTCATATCCTATGCACATCTATTCGGAATCACGTATTTCATGAAATTTCCTAGCACCATACAGGAATTTCTTCTGTTGAATGACTTCTGTGAGGTTCATAACACAACTGGTTTGTTTAGATTTTGTCAGCTGTGTCGTAGTATATCGAAGAAAGAACTTTGAGGTTCTTGCTAATTTGAAGAACGTGGGAATATAATTTTTTTCTTCAAGTTCATGACGGATATGAGAAAGGAAAATGGCAATATCGAGAAACATTTAATCACTCCATTTAGTGTCAAGCAGAACAAATGAAGCTACATAAATCTGAAGCTAAACGTTAAAATAATCAATTTCAATTTAATTTCAATAATAAAAAAGTATCATGAGCCCTCTTGAATCCACGAAAAACGATAAAATGCTATGTTTCCCGTGCCTAAAACATAAGTCGGGCATGAAAAGTTTATGGGGTACTGGCTATATTGCGCTTATTTGACTTGCGTAGGGGATACCCCCTCATTGGTTACAATTCGCTTTTTTAAGGGATACCTAATAAAAACAACGGAGGAATATACTTATGTAAGTATCCAAAAAACTGAATAGACGTAGATAGCATAGACAAAAGCAGGTAATGACAACTCACCGAGTGACAGCAACAGATAATCACTGACAGAAGATATGCTTTACTGGAAAAAATATATATACCCTCATTTGGGGGGTGTGGGTGTGTAGGTGGGCGTAGACGTGAGCGTATTCGTGGGATTAAGCTCGCGTCCGCTACGTGCTTACAAAAAGTCCCTTTCCGAGGTTTCCTTTACTTGTCAACTTTTTTTTTATTGATGCTCAAGTTTCCTGTGATTTTTAAAGCATTCTGAGTAGAATGGAAGCGGATGGACCCTTATAAGAACATCAAGAAACTCTCAGTTCACTCCGCTTATCAAGTTTATTGAAGAAAATTTATTATTTAAAGAATGTAAATTACGCCCCTTATTCTCGCTTGTTCCAGCCCTTCTTGCATCCCTCCTTGCCATTCAGAATGCAGCCATCAAGCGACACTGTTCGACCCACGATCATAAAATCAATTGGTTGATTTTATGATCGCGGGTGAATTTAGTTTATAAGTGAAATTAGTGAGCGGAATTGGAAAGTATGCGACATGATGGTTGATGGTTTCTGCTCAGTCCGACGTAAAGAATTGGCGATTGCCTTTATTTTGTGGGAATCTTTTATGTTTCATAATCGGCGGAAGGGGTCAGTCTCGGAGAATGGTGCCCGTAAGGAAGGACGATCGATAATGCGAATAAACTTTTTTTAACTCAAGCATATTTCCTAAATTATTCCCGAGCAAACAGATCGGGATAACAGTAATTAGGGAATTCCATCAACTAATAGGCTACATAGGAGGAACGGTCATGATCGATAATGCGAATAAACTTTTCTTAACTCAAGCATATTTCCTGAATTATTCCCGAGCAAACAGATCGGGATAACAGTAATTAGGGAATTCCATCAACTAATAGGCTACATAGGAGGAACGGTCATGCTATCGGTTAACTCTCCTCATTCTCTGCTTGCGGACTGTTGCCCAGAGTGCGGAGAGTCGACCGGGCTACTCTCCGCACTGGGGACGGTTGACTGTCCGCGCCGGGTGACTCTCAGCGGAACAGGCTCATAAGGTGACTCAATTTGAGTTTTAACGGATTGGTTTAGTAATACAGTTTGCAAAATAACATCATGGGTGACCCGATTTCTCTGCAGCTGATTCACCTGAGGGAAGTTTTCAAGCGCAGGGAGGTTATGATTTGCGCAGACAAGGTCATCGATGAGATAACGCCTAACTTTCTTATTTGCCCAATTGAAGATTACAGTATGAGTGGAATTCCAAAGTATCCAACAAAATATCGATGCATGTTTTTGGATCCGCTTGGAATATTTTTCGCAGGAAAATATTGGGAGATTGAAACTCATCTAAAATGAAACGGAGAGGGAAGCCATCTTGAAGAAAAGTATTGGCAACTTATTCAGCGTGACGCTCACTTCGATTGTGAGGCTTTACCAAACTCGAACTCTTCTTGGGGTTCATGGTTATTTCAATGGACGAACATCTGTGCTGTTGTGCAAAAATATTGATTGCGTTTGGAAATGTCCCATCGGTTATGATCATCAAAGATCAATTGCATTGTAATTGTTCGGAAAATCAACTGTGATGCTTCACATCTGTGATGAGTCATAGATTAGGTTCGCTAGGTGCCTTGTCAACAGTTGTCAGAGCCCGTCGCTCAGGTCAATCTTTCTCTCTTCGAGCAGGATCGGGGGTAGATTCGCCGGATGGAGGTGGTGCCATTTCTGCTCCTGCGAAGGAAACCTCTGACCCTTCAGTGAGTGAATAAAACGTCAACGACTAGCACAAGTAATAGTACAAGGGAATTTAAAAAAAAATAAATTCGATTGTATTCATGTCTACTATAGGAGTGAAATTGACAAATGTCATGTGCTTTTCTCTATCTTCACTCTCCGTTATTTCGATTTCAAGGAGAAGTACAAGATGACCTCACTTCCTCGGGGTCAAGCGATGATCATCAACATAAAGGAATTTGACGATCCAAACCTGAAGAGGAAAGGGTCAGAATTTGACAGGAGGGATATGAAGAAATTACTTGAGAAGAAACTTCATTTCACTGTCACAGTTAAAGATGACCTGAGTCTCGAAGTAAGCCACAGAGGTTAAAAATTTCTCAGCAAGTAACAATATTCATGTGTACCCCCGAATTTATGAAGACTGAGCCTTGTCAAACCTAAAATTATCGTTTGTAAGGAGTTACCACTTGAATGGCACGATTGCCAGCAAACCTTGGAATTTTTAAAACCTCAATATGATAATATTAACACATTTTGAGGATGCTTGTTCCTGAGCAAGATTAACGCAAAGCTGCGGGAAGAAATTGAAACTGGAAGGTGTTAATTTATTCTCAGAATACTATAGCGTTTGGATATCCGCGCAGGAAATGCAAAAGAATCTGGACGAGTTTTCCAAGAGGCCTGAACACAAGTATGGAGACTGTTGCGTCGTTGTCATCATGAGTCACGGATACCAGGGGTCAGGTTCCGATCCCAAGACGTCATCTCCCTTCGTCATTTCCTGTTCTGACGGGAAGACGCTTGAGGTTGAATGGATCATCCAAAAATTCAACACCGTTGAGTCCTTGAAGGGGAAACCCAAAGTCTTTATCGTCCAGGCTTGTCGGTACTAGAATTAGCAAAGTCAATACTGGCATGATATTGTGCATGGTCTTGTACTAAAATATAGCTTTCTCTACAGAGCAAAAGGAAGTCAATCTTTTGAGCAAATCTTTGGAGATATAGGAAATCCTGGGAGATTTGCAACAGATACCAATAATTTAGGAGGTGTTACAGTTCCAACTGATACATTTGTCGCCATTTCCACTTCTCCATGTAAGCATCGGCTCCTAATGGACTTCTAGTCATCTATGCACCGAATTTGCCTTCATATATGTCCCCATTTTTTGTTCATTATCTTTACCTTTGAGGTATCAATGACCTAATTGTTTTTAATATACTTGTCAGATAATGTCAGCTACAGGGATGAGGAAGAAGGAACGCTCTTTATTCAGACCATCTGCAGCGTCTTCAATGAGTTCGCCGGCGAAATGGACTTCGTTGGCCTGATGAGAAAGGTAAGTTTCTGTCCGGTTGATTTTGTTTGAGATAATGGAAGCATGTTTCCCCCCAAAATGGTTTTGGAATGTCTGTATGTGCAGGTTCATGATGAAGTGGATAAACTGGCTGGTGAAGGAAACGTGGAACAGAGCCCGGAACTGTCGATTAGGGGAAAGAGCAAGGTTTTGTACTTCAATCCTTGAAACGTCAAATGCTAAAATAAAAATGTCTCCACTCCAGTTGGAAAACATTAGAAATAAATGTCAATCGTGCAATGAGTATTTCATTTTGGAGGATCGCTATCTACTATATCATAAGAAGCATTGGCCTTCCTGTTGATATTTTACTTTAGACCTCTTTTTTTTCTTTCCAGAGCGAACAAAATTCATTTATTTCCCTTACATAGAGGAATCTCTCATTAATGGAGGAGTTCTTTAGAAAAAAGGCGTACGTGCAAAATATGCAATTCGAGATAAACGATAAAAACTTCCCATTGTTGCTCTGAAGGTTTACTGTTGGTCAAACTTCATTATCAGTAAATTGATTTCTTCTACCTTTTTCCAATTGAATTTGGGGTTACAATGAATTTCTTCATCTCACTTTACTGTGATGCAGGCAGAAAATGTTTTACGACCTTTTTCCATGTCCGCACAGCTGGAACTTTCTCCAAAGAGTCTTTCACCACCTCCATCCAGATAAAAATAATAATTAATTAATTAATTGAGCTATACATTACAAATAAACTCTTTCTTGAAGAATAGCAATGAAAATACCAATATTCAGAACAAGTTTCATTCAATAATTTTTCAGCAGTGATCCATTATTAGTGTATTCATCATCTGAATCTGCAATTACGAGTATTTCATGCATATATCCAACTTCTCACATCCTTCCGGAGGCCTCAATATCTGGGCCTCCTTCTTTCCATTTCCTCATGTCTGGTTTCTTCCTCATTTTCACTTTTAATTTAAAAGGAAAAAATAATTACACCGAAATCGTTCAGCATGCGAGTGCTAATCGAATAATCATGGAAGCAGTCATATTGAAATTGTCAGGCAGTTGCCCTGCTATATAGTGAGAACATGAGAAAATTTTATTTTCCTTTGCTGAATATGCAGGTTAACTACTTGCTGACCACCTTATCCTATGACTAAGTTACCTAAACAGCGCATGGACATGGATATGGAAAAGGGCGTATGGATACATACGGCCCTTTTCCAGGGAACTCCTCAATTAATCCTGATGCTTCAGAAGAACTCCAACCCCACTTACCACTTTCACCCATTCTTCCGCTCGCAGGAGGGGATCTCGCATGTACGCGAGTTTCGCATGAGTCGGGCATTCAGGTGAGCTTAGCGTTTCGCTAGAATTTCTTTGTAGTGCCAGTGTAAAAAATATATTATTTCATCCATTCATGCGTGAGGGCTAGGTGTACTTATGCGTGAGCATTAGCGTAAAAGTCACGCGTTAGAGGGGAAGTCTGGGTCCTTGCACATTCAAATGAGTATAGAGAGAAAGACTACTTCCAGGAAATAGAGAAACGACTATCGGTGGTTTGCTAAGAGGACCTATCCTGCAAGTAACATTCGTGCGAGTATACTCGCTAATGTTTTTTCTTCAAGACACTCCTTGCCTACAAGAAGTGAAACGGCCTAGGATAGAATTGGAGGTCAAAAGAGAGGAAGATCAATACATTCTCGTAATCCACCCACGTGTTTAGGACGCGGGAAGAAGGAAAATTCGTAGGACAATGTTGTATTATTTATAGTTCTTGCAACTTCTTCATACAAAATATCAGACGGCATAATAAGCGTCTTTACCATGTCTAGAATAACTTTCAAACATTATTGCATTCATCAAAAGCAATTACATTCAGATTCTAGAGGATATTCGGTTTAACCATACAATAGAAATAAAACGTAAGGAATCATGGCTATGCAAGAATAAAGGAAATAAGTAATTAGGAGTCATTGCAGGGAATCCTAAGTAAGAGTGCATTTACGTGATATTGCGCCACGTGTTAGACAAAGAAGAGCTATAGGTGCTTACAAGTAAATGTGAAGACTGGTTGGTCGTCTGAACTGGACTTGACCCACATAAGATTGCACCTCAATAGTTCTCAGTGCAAAAAATTTCCCAGAAAGAATTCAGAAACATTCTTAGAGAGTTAGAATTTTCTCCCTACTATAGAGTTAGGAGGAGATGGTGGTCATTCCCAAAGTGTAATTTTTTATTTTAAGGAAAAACCGGCAGGGCACAAGAGAATCATTCCCAATGGCATCGAGCCATATAGGCGTTGGATATCATATAACAGCACAGTCCGCCACCCCTCTTGCAATTTGTTCCCGCAGAGCGGCAATAGCGTGGACAGGTTGCAGAAGGACTTGGCCGAGGAGTGTGAATGGCATCCTGCTCCCATTGTTGCCAACACTAATCAATTGCTCTTGCAATATGCAGCAATACGACGCGTTGACCACCCGGATTCACGACGTCTATGGTACGGCCTCTCTCAAACTCGTTCGACTGGCGATACGGTTGCAAAGAATGTAGTCTAGGCATTCTGTACACTATGACGATACAACTGCATTGTGATCCCTTTGAGTTGTGTGTATTGTGTGACTAATGCCAGACAAACGCGCACCTACGAATTGTCCAGTGTCACCTTTGTTTCCGCTCTTTCTATAAATTTTCGGTCTCTGTTTCGTTGGATCAAGAAAAAAAATTCTGAAAAAAAGTGACCTCATGATTTTTAGCGAATTTTTTAAAATGGATATTTGTATGGATTTGTTTGGATGATGTATGGAGACTTAATATTTTTATTTAACTCCTTGTCTCGATAGTCACAGTCATGCAAAGTGTCAGCTTTCCATGTTCATCAGTTTAAATGATGCAAAACAATTATTTGAAAACATCTCCCTTTGAAATTTTTGCCCGCAGGGCATTTATTTCCGAAGTCTGAATTTTTCTGAACGCAGCATCCCAATAGGTAAATATGTACCAAGTTTCACCTTTCCACACCAGCTCAATACCCAGGGGAAAAAATTACTTGAAAACTTCGGCCGCTAAAAATATGCTCCCATGGCGCATGGATCTAAAATTTTACATTTTTCCTGAACCTTTTCCTTTTTTGGTTCTGTAGGTATATCCATGCCAGGTTTCGGCTTTTCATGTCTCTCCGTTTTACTAAAGCAAAAATATTGTTACGGATGGGGAATAATTAACGCGACTTGGACGGCATGAGAGGCCAAAAGAAAGCCAAGGAATTGAACCCGAGCCTCCTGATTGCTGGTCCGGTGTGCTACCACTGCACCACCGAACTCTTGACCAGCCGACCCTCTCGATACTATCCTAATCCATCACAATATATATCTTTAAAAACTTCTCCCCCAAAATGTGTACCCCAAGGGCATGTACCTTCAACGTCAAATTTTTTCTCAACTCTGCATCCCAAAAGGTACCTGTGTACCAAGTTTCAGATTTCTAACTTATCTAGAACATGGTTAGAATTAGCGTCAGTCAGTCAGTCACGATCGTCTATATATATTAGATATGTGCTGTCCATAAAAGAATGCAACAATTTCAAAAATTAATCACTCGGTAAGTAATGGATGGTGATCTCTGCATCGAAATGAAGGAGAAGACTAGGAGTTTATTTATATCCCGTTATAGATGTCGCTGGCAGCTCGAAATGCGTCCGCAAGGGAATTTCCTTATTGGTGCCAATTTTTGGCGCGCGCCTCACCCCATCAGTACAACGGCAACTGTTCACTGACCAATGGACTGATGCGGATTCGCCTTCTTGGGTCCTTTTTTGCGGAAAACACGATCACCGGGGATGATTACCTTTATTTGCTAGAACAATGTGTCTTCCCCCAAGTCGACGACATGGAACAAGAAACTCGTCCCCGCCCCACTCCTCCAGATGTGTACGGCGCTCCCTAAATGAGAGATTTCCAACTCTGTGTTCCATTAAATTTATTTGTCTTTTGTAGGTGCAGTCGAGTTTTTGAACAGTACTCTAAGGGTTGGCCGCTCTTAGTGGTACTTCAACCATCGGCCTTTCAAATGTAATAATCGACGTTGTCGTACCTGTCCCTACATGGTCGAGGGAGGGAACCTGAATCTAAGTATACCCATCTGCAAAAATAGCCATTTAATTTACAAGATCACCTGCAATTCCTGTGGGCTCGCCTACGTTGGCCAGACCAGCACGGCGCTGAACATGAGGATGAATAATCATCGATCATACATTAAATTGACCAGAACCCATGATATCGAAATCCGGCATTTTCAAAAACACAGTTATGATGATATTCGAGTTGAAATCCTTCGGATCGTCGCAGATGAAGCTGAGAGACTGTCTGCCGAAGATAATCTGATCATTTGCCACAGGACACTTTATCCTTACGGCCTTAATGATAGGTATCAAGGCATGAACATGTCCACGAACCTTAGCCAACATTGCATTTATAATCTTCTGCAGAATTCGAGATTTGGGCAGAGAGCCTCACAAAGAAGACCTAGAAGGACCTCAGTAAGCACGAACCCTTACAAGAAGTTTGTGAACTTCTATTCGCTGCTGAAGAAATGGGAAAATTTCTTTTTAGCAGAGAAGAATGCCATTAGATAATAAAGAGCGAAATTAATTTTCTTATGCAAAACCAAATTGAAATTTCTACTCAATGTTATTAAAAGCGAAGAGGACAACAGGCACTTCTGGGACTTTGTCATTGACTTTTGTAAATACAAGCTGAAAATTAATTCCCTAGAGAAAAGAAAAGCTCGTACAAAATCCTTTATCATTATTCCGTTCTTAAACAAATGTCTAAATTCCTTCAAACTGAATGCCGTTCTAGGTAGTTCAGCTGCCAGTGATAAATTTCCTGCCAAAAATGCATATCCTAAGATTTCCTACAGCCTGCAGAAACCTTTTGGCAGGATCGTGTGCAACTATCGACAATTCATTCAAAACCTTGACTTGACAACTCTTGAAGGTCTACCCTGAGCATGTAACGAGGGCAAATATAGGAAATTCATAGACAGGCATCATTGGCATGTTATTACTGGAGATTTGGACATAGTTGCAAACGCCAAACTTAAAAACCTATTTCGAAAAGGTAGCAAATACAGGATGAACAAGAAGTTAAATAAGGATGAATTTTTTCAGAAGTTCCTAACGGCTTTAGATAAATTCGTAAAAAGCGCGGCTTGGAAGGCGGGAATTCCTCCCAAGTCCTTTCTAGAGTGGAAAATCTACATTACTGGACGTGTCA